CTCACCCTAGGTAGCTGACAAAGAACACAGCCACTGGAACAAATATCAACCGTGCCACCTGATCAAGGATCACAGCACCGCTTCCTCTGGTTTGACATGTACTCGAACAGCAAAATCCCACACCTAATATTTGACAGACCCTCCACCCAGACAATCCCCACCAAATTACTGCCTTCCTTCTACATTTTAAGATTTTGATGACTGTTTGTGCTGGTTTTGGCTGGGGTAAAGATAATTTTCTTCATAGTAGCTAGCATGAGGCTATGTTTTGGATTTGTGCTGAAAACAGTGTTGATAACACAGGGATGTTTCCATTATCACTAAGCAGTGCTTACACAGAGTCAAGGCCTTTTCTGCTTCTCATCCCACCCCACCAGCTGGGGGTGCACAAGAAGCTGGGGGGGACGCAGCTGGGACAGCTGACCCCAACTGACCAAAGGGATATCCCACACCGTATGACCTCATGCTCAGCACATAAAGCTGGGGGAAGAAGGAAGGGGGGGGACGTTCGAAGTGATAGCATTTGTATTCCCAAGTAACCATTACGCGTGATGAAGCCCTGCTTTCCTGGAGATGGCTGAACACGTGTCTGCTGATGGGAAGCAGTGAATGAATTCCTTGTTTTACCTTGCTTGCATGTGCAGCTTTTGCTTTACCTGTTACACTGTCTTTATCTCAAACCACGAGGTTTACCTTTTTTCTGATTCTCTTCCCCCATCCCACCGAGGGGGGGGAGTGAGTTAGCAGCTGCGTGGTGTTTATCTGCACGCCAGGGTAAACCACAACACTGACATATTGCTAAAGATGTAATAAAGATTAATCTTACTTTAGACACAGCAAACACTCTCTGATGGCTTAACTAGTTATAATGCGGATCCTGAAACTGACACAAGTGTTGAGCCTACAGGCCTCAAGAGTAAAGAGATTACTAGGCTTCCCTTCCCACACATCACTTACTGTCCAGCTTGTTTTCTCCCACTTGGGAGGCGAGAAGGGAGAGTTGCATGAGAGAGCAGCTGGAATGGACAGAGCTCTGCCTGGGGATGGACAATGAGCCAGTTGGGAGCTCACAGGTCAGGAATAGAGGGCAGACCAACATGGGTGATATTCTAGCAGGTGTCTGCTGTAGACAGCCTTATCAGGAAGAAGTACATGAAGCCTTCTTCAGACAACCGGAAGACTCATGACACTCCTGATACAAGTGATTGAGGAGTCAAGGAGGGGAGGCACTCTCTGCTGGACCTCAAACTTACAAACAAGAAAGAACTGGTCAGGGATGTGAAGGCTGGGGTGCAAACTTAACTTCAGTAACCACGAGATAGTGGAGTTTGGGATCCCAAGAGGAACGAAAAAAGCAAGATCATAACCCTGGATGTCAGGAGAGCAGTCTTTGGCCTGTTCCGAGATTTGCCTGGAAGAATCTTGTGGCATATGGTGCTGAAGAGAAGAGAGGTCCAGGCAAGCTTGTTGATTTTTCAAGTATCACCTCATCCAAGATAAGCAGGAAAACAAGCGGAGGTTGACCAAAGAGCTCCTGACAAAACTCAGACATAAAAAGGAAACGTACAGGAGGTAGAAGCACAAGATGAGTGATCTGGGAGAAATAGAGAGATGCTGTGAGTGTGCAGGTATGGGGGTAGGAAAGCCGAAGCCCACCCAAAGCTAAATCTGGTGAAGCACATGAAGGGCAAGGACTTCTGTGGGTGCATCTGAATGGGAATGGGGACCTGGTCATAAAGGACAAGGAGAAGGACAAGGAACTGAATGCCACCTTCACCTTGATCTTTACTGGTAAGATCAATTTAATTTGAAATTTGTTTTGGAAGGCTGAAGACATCAAAACCACGTATTCTGTATCTACAGTATATATGTATATACTTAAGAGAACATTTTTGCTAAATCAGAGTACAAGGTACTGATAAGAATATTCTTAGCTGGAGCAGAGACAGTAATCAATAGGAACTTCTTCTGCATACCTAGTTTCTACAGTTTATCAAAAGGAGAAGGCAGGCAAGCCAGAAGTGCACAAGCAACAGTCAAATTCATACCTTCTACTACATGAAGCTTCTACTGCTTACTCTACAGGAACATGCTTTATTTTTCAATATCAGTTATATACTCTTGAATATTATGTAACAGAAGAAATACGCGATTACAGGTTAATATACTGATGTCATAGACTAGATCAGCAAAGTTGTCACCACAGTCCATTGTGTTTTCGTGACCCTCAGACAAGTGTTCTCCTAGCCAAAACCTTTACAGTAGAGTAGTTATGCACAATTCACCTACTTAACTCGTATAACAAGAACAAAAATACCTATTAACTTTCTAAAGCGTATGCAAAGCCAGGATGACTTTTATCCATTGCTGCCATGGGACTGAGTAAGCTACGCTAATAGGAGGTCAGAAAGTCACGTCTGATAGAATCTGTTAGATGTCTCCTTTAAAAAAACAATTCTTTAGACAGTTCAATTTGTATGGTACCTATACACCCATATGCAGAGTGTATTAAGTTAGTTACTTTTTACCATGTGCAAAGTACATGTTTAAAGCTCCCAGGCTGCATCACTCAAACTCTGCTCAAGAGCCATTCTGCCCTTTTTTTTATTTTTTATTTCCCCTTGAGAATTTTGTCATGCAAGTGGGGAGAATTTTTTTCTGATTTTGACCCACAATTTGTGCCTTACCAGTACTATTACTTGCACTTAAGAAGTGTGCTAAGGTTATAAGTCACCATCTTTCCCTCGTCTTTACTTTTCCCTTAAAGGAGAGAAGCATTACTGTATTGTGTTTATTAAGCAGAATTTATTTTTCAAGAAATCAAACAGAGTTTCAAATGACAAAACAGTCAGGGAAACAGAGCTCCAAAACCGAAAGAATTTTCTATCATCCTCCAATAGCTGTTAGGGATCCCCCTCAATATATCCAGAATAATAGTATTAAACGGGCTAAATCAAGTTAGTGTACTCATTCTCATTATACAGATCTTACAGTTTTCACTACAAAAAACACCACAGGTTGTTGGTTATTGCAGGAAGACAGTTACTGCCCTACTTAACAGCTCACTGCCTACAGCATGTAAGTAGATCTTCTACACCTTATGTACCATTTTAAGTTACAGGCGATAAGGTACAGACATGCCATGGAACCCTAATTCTGTATTTCTCCATTTCTGCTCAGATTCTTTATCTCAGTATTGAAGATGTATAACACCTTAAGCATAGTAACAAATGCTCTTAGGTTTGTGTACTTACACTGATACTGAAGAAATCTTTTAATACTAATGAATTCTTCATAAGAACTGAAACATGAAACTTCTATTGCAACACTGACCTCTGAAAATAATTCAAAGATTACAGTTGTGTGTTTTTAAATGTCAATGCAGCAATGGCTGTCAATGCAGCAATGGCTGTCAGTTAAGAAACTCAAAACTCAAACAACTCTATTCCAATGCAGAGAAGCCTTTACCACTACTAAATAGACACTCTTAACACTTTTACAATGTTCCCAGATGTTTCATTTGTAAATCTCACTCTCAGAGGTGTATTGTCCTCATCTGGTGAAATTTAGCAAGTAGAACAGCCGCCTCAAAGGAAAGAAATACAGAATAAGTCAAGAAAATTCAGTGGTATAAGCAAACTGTTAGGCATCAAAATGGTTCAGTGATCCTACAATACTGGAAAAAGGGCCTCAACTGGCTGTACAGCAATGGTAACAGGTTTCCAACTAAACCAGAAATTGGCCTTTTTTAACATACTGATCAGCATGCTCGAGTTTATTCATAAATGAGTTGACCTCTTATTTTGGTTGGGTTTTGTTTTGTTGGTTTGGTTTTTTTTTTTCCCTATTATCCAAAAGAATGAACTGAGTTTCAGTTGCTACAAGGAATGAAATAAATATCTTCTCACAGTTAGTTGCTATGGAAATAGTAATTCACAACTGGACCTCTGTTGCAACAAAATGGAGAAACAACTTAAAAAAATAAGCTCTTATTTCTGAGAATCAGTTGCTTAAAGACACAACAACTAAGGATGAGGCTCAGGCAACAAACAACTTTTTGGGAACTAGTCCAAGACTTGTACCTCCAACAAAATGCAACATGTAACTTCCCAGTGATACATCAGTCTCCCAGTTTTTATGTGCCCTTAAACAATTATGACTGGTATCTACCCAGCCTGACTAAACTTGTGAAATTATATCTGCAGATTAATATATCAGTTAGAATTTGATATTCCTTTCAAAAAACCCCGTAACACCTACACCTTCTCTTCAGTCTGTAAGTTTGAGGGACATACATTTTTTTAAACAGAAAACTGATACAAAGGAAAAAACAATATCTATGTTGTACTTGTTCCTGATGTATATAATCTGTGCCTCTAGAAGAACATTAATAGATGGATAAATTTGCCACTGCATTTCTTCCAAGACATAGAAAGCCTGCTTTTTTGCCTTGAATAACCACTCAAATTCTTCATGGCTGGAACTGACAGATTGAAGGTTTGCTCATAAGACTGTTACCCTTTTAATTCCTCTAGTGCAGCCCTTCATACCTCCAAGCTCCCCCATCACTTTTTGGGGAGAGACTGTTATGCACTGAAATTCTATCTTCCACATGCAGAGGAGGGGAAGGAGGTTATTGAAGAAGAAATAAAGCACTTGTTTAAAGTCACATTGGCCACTAAAGAATTCTTCTAAGCCAATGATATTGACTAATTGATCTTGAATTTGTACTCCATCCATTAAGAAATAGAACTAGCATGCATGTATTTTTAAAGAGAGGATGCAACGGTCAGGTCCCTTCAAAGTAAGTCTTCCTGTAGATAATAAACAAGATTTTCGTCTTCTTTAAATCCAGTCAATAGTTTTATCATTCTAACAAGAACTTGAACTGTCCATGGTTGCACATAAGATGAAAAACTGCAGTCTGGAGAAACTGCTGGTTATCTCAGGGAAACAAGGAAAATCAGAATTTACAGCGCTCCTGGATGTAAAAAAGATTTTCAATTACTGAAAGACTTGGATAGATCAGATGCACTTTTCAACAATCGAGTAATTCCTCTTCCTCTCATGGTACTTGTTCCATAAAGAGAAGTCTTCACACCACATGGAGAATCACCTATTAAATTGAATACAGTTTGCAAATCAAATCAGCCTTTAAAGCTTGCATAAATTAATGGAATTGTTCTTCATACGCTGTGGAGCTGAACCTATTCAATAGCTCTAACACAAAAAGTCAGAGACAGGGGTTGTGTCCTCTATAAACACCAAGACCATAAGATCTCATGATTTATAATTGGAACAGTTTTGGAGTTTAATTCAGCGTGTATTGTATATGCAAGAAAATAAGCTACAAACTCAGAATTCTTACAGTTATTTGTCTTGCAAACTTGATTCTCGTCCTCTGAAAATTAGTCATGAACTGAGCAGATGAACCGAGCTCCTATGACTTCTATTAAAAAAAATTTTGTCTCCAAAAAGAAGATTTTAAATGAGCATTCCTCATAAACTGAGCTATAACAGAATACTTGCAACAAGTACCAGCTGAGTCTGCAAATATAATGACTTAAGAGCAAGGAAAGTATTTTAAAAATGGCCCTGCCTCAAAGCACCTAAGCATATGAAAACAGACTTCGTGTAGTAGAAAAATAAGGGGGTATAAACCAGAGAGCAACATTTGTAAGAAAAACTAAATTTTGAGAGACCTTTTTGACCATAAGATTGAATTCAGTATGAAAAGGGCAGCTCTTTATGTCTTCAGAAATTCACTGAAATCCATGGGCAGGAATAAACGCGGCTCATGCAGAGTTGTTTAAGCTTTATGCCACTGACAGGCAACATCTAAGCCCAGAAATTTGAAAAAGCAGCAATTGGATTAAGTTTAAATACCTCTTTCCCCTTACAAATGTGAAACTTTCAAACTCACAATTAGAAGGGACAAGCTCTTGATCCTGACTTGGAGAAGCGAAATGTCTGTTGCATCCAGAACCCTCAGCCTTCATTTTCTGTATGAAGGAATAAACATTGCAAATGATATGTGTGTCTTCTAAAATGCAGTATACACAACTATCCATGAAGCCTATGAATTATGGTCAAAAATCGTAAGAAATGACCCAGCTAGTGATTATTTTTCTTTCATCAGTCTGCCCGATATACATCACAAAAGTCAGCATCCAATGAGAAAACAGCTAACCTGAAATTTGCAAGTTTGAACACTTGAGTTAACTAGACATAAAACAGGATACCAGTTTAAAAAATCTGACCTGAAAACGTCCAGCATCCAGTATCACCATCTTGGTATTTCTGCTTTCACCATAATCAGAGTCTTGAAGAGGTAGGTGAGCTGCTGTCAGTGAGACTCCATACACATTAGCTAAAGATTTACTGATGCAGTAACTTGATCGAGAAAAAAAGAAAACAAGAAAAGTTTGGCTAAGAGGGCTGTAATGCTTAGGTACAGAAGCACAGCATTTTTAGTTCTTCAACTGGCAAACAAAAGCAACCACAGACTGAGATGCACAGAGCGGATGACGGAGGGCGGAAGGACATTATTGCAGCAGCTAAATAGTTAGCCTGCATCCTTCCAAGACCACCAGCCTATTCTGCAACTACACATGAAATTAAAACAACTGCTTCCCCACACTATCAAATGCAGCCCCTGAAAAGTATGAAAAGCAACATTTTTTTGCAAGGCATAACAGTGCATAATGAATAGTCTTTCATTTAAAAAACTCTTGTTATTATCTCCCTCAAAGTGCTACTACTACTGACTGACATCTTAAATGGCATTTCCTTGTTTCCCAACTATTTACTTTCCCTCTCCCCACACCAAAAAGATTACAGAACCATATGTATCTACATTATATGTAAGGCAGTATAAGTTTCCAAAGTAGAGATGTACTAGAATATACTGAGAATGTCTTACCAAATACAGGTATACTAAACCTCTGAAGAAAAACAGTGAGTCCCAATGTAATTAGCACTTCTCTCAACTCTCCAATAGTAAGTGGAGGTAGTGAAAGGATGACTACAGAGTGGTGGACATTACTATCACAGAAATGACATCAAAATGCTAAGACTTACAGCATACTGCTAAGCCATACAAACAACAATGAAAGTTACAAATAGAACAAAATCTTGGGGATGGAGGGAATAAATAAAACTCAAGATCTAGAACTACAGTGCTCCAGGCAGTCAGAGAAGCCAGAGCCAAAAACAGGCATCTGTAACAAAATAAAAAGTCATCATATTGGAGATAACTCTATAGCAATACTCACGCAATTTTCTTACAGGATGCCAAAGCACAGCAGAGTATATCGTTCTCTTCATGCCACTTGCACCTACATGAAAAAAAGTGCAGGCTTATTTCAGAAGCATCTACATCATTAATTAACATGAATAGTTGGTCTGGTCAGAAGGAACACGAACAAATAGTAAAGATGTTCTTTTTGTCTCAGTGACCATATAGTACCTTTAAAATTTCACAGAGGACCAGTGTTCAATAATTAAGCTCTAAGTGGTTTATGCAGAGTTAAAAGGCATGCTTAACAGGCAACCTGCTTCATGCTGAGGTGGGGGGAAGGGAGAAAAGAGAGTCCGAAGAGACAAATGGAATTTAAAGGTAACAATTTGAAGTTTTCCATTAATGTGAAATAGTTCCTCTTAGTATAAGTATCCTCACTTTCCTCTCCAAATGTGTGTTTTAAAGTACATTTTCCCATTCTTGTTAAGGTCTCCCTCTAGCGAAATGGAAAACTGCTTGACTATAAAAACATAAAGTGACACTGATAATCCCAAAATCCATACTGTAAGCAGACTTCCAAGAATAATTTCTTTTTAAAGATCTACTAAAATTTAAGATCAAATTATTGATTCTTACTTAAAACAGTAGCAGAGGAAAAATTAAAGTATATTCCTAAGTTAACTGCGTCATCACTAAATATTCCCCTGCAACACAAGCTACATAGCACTTCTTTGTACAAACATGGAAGAATCCGAACGCAGGAAAAGCTTTACCGATCAAGACACATAAGGAAGAAAAAAAAAAAAAAAAGGAAAAAGAAGAAAAAGGATAGGATCTAGCTTAATGCTTATGCTTGAGAACTTGATTTATACCACAGGCAAACATACGTGTCCCTCATCACAGCAGCAGCATGAGGCATTTGATGTATAGCAACAGCCAGGTCCCATCCAGATTATGCTTCTGAGAGAGTCTGAATCTTCTCAATTCTATGATTTCCAGTTAAATAGCACAATATATTTTAGTACCATGTTTTACCCCTTCCTTTAAATTAGGCCCCAGACTCAGCATTAAAAAGCTGTCTATCTTTACACTTCTTTTGGGAAAGTATTTTTCATTTCCAATTGTACTCATGATGTGACTAGAAGCATTTCTGATTAGAAGGCTTGCAGAACGTTCTAGCACAGCAGCATATAAGCTATATGTAGGGCACCAAGACACATCAGGCTAATAGACGTTTCCACAATGAAGAACTCAACATACCTGGTATTACTGGAGAAATCCCACAGGAATACATCCAGTTCTCTACACACCCAAGTCTTGGATGGCTCCTTTTGGTATTTCTTCCGGTACAGTTCTATTACCAGGTCTTCTACTGCAAGAATCTCCAGGTAGCTCTCAATGCCTATAGCTCAGAGAAAATCCAGGTCAGGAGAACAAAAGAGTGAGTGAATATTCTGTTCAGCTCACTTCTCAGTCAGTCCCTGTTCACTGCCCAGCCTCTTACCAGAGCATCAAAGCTCTTGTAAACCTTAACAAGTTATTCCACCAGTGGTTTTTATGAAACTTGGCTTCCTAGCAAAGCGGGTCATCCTATATTCCCATAATTTTCTCCACCTCAGTAATTACATACCCTACTTGCAGGCCATCTCTGCTCAGAAGCTGTTAGTTTTCCCATGTGTTACCCATACGCTCACCTTCACAGTAATCTCACTGCCTCTAGTGCTCCTTTAACTGGCTGAGCAAGAAATGGTGTATGTTATCCTATGGATGTGCTTGTTAGCCAGTTAGCTGAACATGCTCCTGTTTTACTGTCACTGATGGGGAGGAAAAGGAGAGGAAGAAGCATGCAAAGTAGTTCTGGCTGTCAGTACCAGCTTTTATGAAACCTTTGAGACCCAAAGATTTTCAAACCTGTCCATGATTACACAATCCTCCTTTGGCGGGGGGGGAGGGGTGCAGGGAAGGCCAAAAATGATCCATTTCCCACCTGTTATGCTAGCCATTCGATTGAGACACCAGTTAATTCGGAATCTGTCATTAGACTAGAGGAAAGAAAATTTCAGTCACATTGAAGAAGTACAGTATATAATTCTGACATCTGCAAGACTTCTGACTACGTCTGAAAAACTCACCTCTAAAACAAAATTCAATGTTTGTGGGACTGAATGTACACTCTTCCTGAAAATTATCTTGAAGAGGAACCAAATGCCACAAAAGCTTTCCAACCAAACCCCAGGAGAAATCTTGGACTAATGCTTGGGGACAGGTTAAAGGTTAACCCATACTATAGTACGTTAAGTGCTCTGAGATTTTTTTTCATGTGTATTTCTTCAGAGCACTATATTTATGGATGGAGCTCAAGATCTTGACCCTCCCCACCTTTTTAAGGATTGACATTAGGCTTGAATGGAATCAAAATGTCATATATCTGTCACGAAGCTTAAACGCCTCTGAATCCTAATGTTTTGCTTTGCACATTGGCAAATGAAACTTGAGCAAAAATTAAGATGTACAGTATTCTCATGGGGA